TACATCTGCTTATATTGTTTTGTCGATCAAAAATTTTCGGTTGCTTCCGCGGTTTAAAAGAAAGTTTGCAGAAAACCACAGATTCAGCCTCTGAGACCGTTCCCTTGGGTCTTCGTTTTTACCAACGCACAGCAAGCATTTTGATCTGAATGTATAAATTTTCCAAATTCTATAATAGATAGTGGATTCTCAAATCTAATCTATACAACAAAGAGATAGTGATAATGATAAAAACTGAATAAAGTAATCAAAACTCTTGCAGAGGAAGTAAAGCCAAGCTGCAATTTCTAGTCGCTCTCTATCGTGGACTGTCTTCGGTAATAGATTCGGAGAAGAAGAAAGATTTTGCAGTCAATGTTGTTTTTGAAGGTAAATTTCTTCCTTACATTGATTATATGTATTACACTCAAGAGCGTGCTACATTCAATGTGGAATCATCCCAGATTCGAGAAAAATAAAACTGCAACTGAAGTGAAAAAAGAGCAAACACCACTTACTTGAATTCGGAATTTATGATGAGAAGGCAAATTGTTGAAATTAAATTAGAATGGTCAGTGGTGGACGGACAAAGAAAAAACCCAGTGTTCTTATCGGCGCTGCCCTCTTCAGCGTTAACGCTCTCTCTCTCTCTCTGCTGAACGTCTAGAGACTCAGACACGAGATGCCGCGGGCGGGAGGAGGGGAGGGGGGGGGCGTACCGTGCTAGTAGTACGCCAATTGGGCCGCGGGGAAGGCCGTATCAGCTCGCCGGGAGCATGTCCTTCGACGCGAATTGCTTGTCGGTCTGCACCCTTGGAAGGTCCGCCTGTCTCTCCACTAGGTGAGTTCTCCTTCCTCGACCTTCTTCCCAATCGTGAATCCTCTTTCAGTTATCAGGTGAAGAGGAGAGGAGAATGAGTTTAGTCAACATCAACTGACTGCAGCCGATTTGAGCAATGAGAAACAATGAAAGGGGAATAAGCTTGAGCAGGAGAAAAGAATTTGAAATACAAAGCCAAGCGGTTCCATGCTTTGTTCACAGGAAAATGAACAATAAGGATAAAGGATAAAGCATTTGCCGTTGATCAATCCCTTTTTGGGATGCGGCACGCATTCTACTTCCATTTGTACATTCGTAGTGGCGTTTGAATGCGATGTGGCCTATACAATGACTTGCGGGGCCAGCCGATGTACAAGTCAGTGTTTTTATCCTCCCAGACAAGTCTGGTACCAAATTAACCGACCCCGGAGGGATGGAAGGCTTGGTTGGCCCGGGCGACTCACGACCCAGGATTTGATCCCCGGACCGCTCGCGTGGTAAGCGCGCCACTTGTCACTTTCCGCCCTTCAACCCGCGAACAATATGAAAGCGAAAAATAATCGTAGCACCTTTGACTTTAATTGTAATTTCTACGAGTATCAAAGAAGGCAGCCTGTGACTCGTCATAGCCTAAGTACACACTAAAAGGAAGTTTTGTATTCGCACGGAGCGATGGGACAGATATGTTTGTGTATGTATTACTGGATCACTTACATTCTAGCTTTGTCAATAGAAACATTGACGTTTCTTGACAATTGTTGAATGATATTTAAGGTGTGACGATCCCTGATGGAGAGAACCCGGACCTGGTCTACTATGACAGCAGAACAGATTCGCTAATGAGGTAACAATTAACTAAGCTTGCTTGAATAAGTTGTGAAGCCTTGAGGCAAAAACCTTCTCATAGCTGAGTTTTGAATCTAAAAGCCGAGATGTCGACTACGAGAACTCCAATGGTAATCCGTGTGTGATCGACGTTAGATATCACCGAGTACATTCCAAGTAGGCTGCTGTTCTAACGGTGGCTAGTGGTTGGAAAAAACCCCTAAGAATAATGAGATCGAAAAGATTGTTGAACCAGATTTTTTGAAAAAAATTCTGCACTCTCGTGAAGTTGAGTATTTTCTGTTTAATTTGCAGAATATTAAAGCTCTAGTAGTCTACATACTTATCAATTTTAAGATACCAAGATGATACTGGCATGGGTGTGAAACTAGAGATGACTAATAAGCAAGACAGCGGAAACCTTCATTCTCACAGCTCTCGGACAGCGAACAAGGATCTCGTAACGATATCATCTTTCTATTGTTGTTAATTGATTCGGAGAAATCCACGAGACTTTGAGATACATTCTGCGATTGTCATTCTGCACTCCTGAGAGGTACACTGGTACACAAGCAAGCTGGTTCTACCATTTTCGCAGCTTTATTCTGCATGGCAAAAACTTATATCACTCGCAATCCCCGCCCATTCAGCAAGAACCCGCCTCGTAGTGGATACCACGTTGACGCCTGCATCTCTCTGACTTCTGCTCTTTCTCCTTCCTTCGTCGTCAGAGCCTCTCATTCTAGCTCGCACAATTCAATGCACATAAGGCTTACCATGCCATATACCAGCTATAAGGATGGATCTTTCTTAAGAACAGCGTTATTTGTCTGCTTTACTAAGCAGTCCTATAGCACCTACAGTATCATGACACCAGTAGTCAGATTTTGATCATGTATAATGCGCCCTGGGATGAACAACAAAAGTGTAGCTATTGATTTGATGTAAAAGATTGTTAAAGTGGTGATTAAGGTTCTGTCGTGGCTCTCAGGTTCCAATCGACAGCCCTTTGTTGTTGTTGGTCCTGATGGTTGCGGAAAGGAAGAGCTCTTGAAGCATTGCTTCAACGAAGACAACGATAGTCAACTAGCCATTGTGCACTCCAGTGCACAGAGTGGGTGAGTCAATCAACATGGCCTAGTGACAAAAGAGTTCCAAGAACGTTCAACACTATTGCAGCGGTTTCGTGCAGACCATACCGTTTGCTCCTGACCTAGTCTTTCAATACAACTCACCTCGGTAGTTGGAAATACCATAGTCCATCGCGGGTGCATATCTTATCCATGAGTCCTTTAGTGAAATCATGACGGTCCCCATGATCTCTTCACTCCTAGCCGTCATGGGTTCCTAGCTCAAAAAAGGGAGGCCAGGGTCCTGGATTGTGCAGCAGCTGCAATCAGAGATTCAACCGTCTGTTGTGCCCGCTCCAGCGAACGAGCTAGATTTGAGATTTTCGGTGGGTGGGGTTGGGGGTAGGGGAGTCGCATTTTTGTTTTTTTTGCGTATTTGTGATCGTGGCGGGGAATCTTATTCGAGGTTCCTGGAGCAGTTGTGGTGTAGGAAGTTGAGGGATCGTGCTGTAGTGGAGTTGGGGGTTGTTCCCCGTCCCTTCCTTCCCACCCGTTCGTTCAGCATTTTTGGAGCATTTTTGTGGAGTTGGAATGTTTTACCTCACCTGGTATGTACTATGTGGGAAGAAACACGACGGTGAATGTGATAGTTAGAAGGAGAGTCGTGTTGAGTCTCCCTTGAAAGAAGGTGGGGTGAACGGGCGGGGTCTTGATAACTTTTGAATTTGCACATCAGATGGCTGCCCGCGGCTGTAATGCAACTGACGAGAACTACAAGGCACAATTTTAGGGCATCTGCAATCCTCCAGTGTCTCAGCAACACTGCGTTCAGACGAGCAGCGCCACTGGCCGAGTTCTCCGCCCCAAAGATAAGCCGTTGCTAATTTTGTATCTGAAGAACATCAATCTTCCATCCCCGGATAAGGTGAGACTTTTCACCTTTTATGATT